GTTGGAGTATCATCCCATACACCAAAAGGTGGTGGGCTCCATTCCCCATTGCACAGTGTTGTGGATTCAAAACACTGATGTTTCTATCTCTCTCATTGATGTTTCTCTCTCTCTCTAAAAAACAATAACAAATCAGTTTTAAAAATAAGAGAAGTGAAAGATGAAACAAGATATATATTTATATTTATATTTATATTTGTATTTATATTTATATTTATATTTATATTTATATTTATATATATGAAAGAAACAAGACTCAGAAAGAACCTTGACCCTCCCCCTTTCCTGCCCAAGAGGTTCAGGTAGAAAACCCTGCTTCAGGAAGGGAACCTTAGCATAATCACCTCAGCCCTGGACTTGACAGGAAGACTACAAGCAGAGCCTGCAGCCCACCCCACACCTGTGTCCCATTGTATCTGGGTTGCCCGGCAGGAATTTTCCTGCCATGTGTGCTCTGCTCTTCCTCAACTACCTGTAAATCCCCCGTTTCACTTCTGAAATCTAAGACCCTGCTCCCTCCCACCATGTCTCCTTTGTCCAAAATGTCATACATACGCAATGTTGCCTCCATGCCTTTGGAATTCTCATGCTTATGTGAATTCCCCATGCGCAACGGGCCCGGAGACCCTATAGATAGCATCCCCGTATCCATATTGCTCAGGTGACAGACCTGGCCACTGGGGATGTATGTCTGGGATTTGGGGGTGCTGATCTGCATGTCGTCCTTCCTGTTTACCCCACTCCAGGGCTTGGTTCTGTTAGAGGCAGTTAGACAGACACGAGCAGAGCAAGTACGATGGGCCGAGGGCAGAAAGCCCTGGGTGCTTAACAAGGGGGGAAACAAGGACCTGGCCCCCGGGGTGGCCTTTCCTCCCTGACCTTTCCTCCCTAAAGATAGCATCTCGGCCTCACTTGTATGTCAGCTCCAGGCCCAGAAAAGGAGTAAAACCAGACAAGTGACACCATGGCTGCCTCAGGACCAGCTGCATTGACTAAGGACCCCCTGCCCTGACACTGGCCAATCAGTGGAGACCTCTACCCTGAAAGAGCACACCTGGGAAGCTGATGAATATTCTATTGAAACCCTCCCCTGAGACCTGCCTTAAGACTCCCGCCTGCAAGAGAGAGAGCAATACACTCAGGACACAGGACACAGTGAGCACTCTTCCCTAGGGGAGCACGCCTGTGCCATTCCCTTCCCCTTTCTTCCCTCTAAGGGGCCCCATGAGGCTTGCAACCAGGGGAGCAATGGACAGCAGCAGCTCATCCCAGGCTCACCCCCTGAGCCTGTCTGAGGCCCCCTTCTCTCTGACCTCCCAGTGAGCCAAAGCAGCCAGCCCGGGCTCTCCTGCTGCTGCTTCTATGCCCTTCCTTGTTCCCTGTCCTGAGTGTGGTTTTGCTTTGGCCAAGGAATTCTTGCTTGCTTTGCTGCACATTGTCTCTTGATTGAAACCTTTCCTTCAAGAAGACAAGACCTGAGGTCCCGTCGTCTCACTGGTAACAGTTCCACCGTCCTCTTTTCCCGCCGTGACCTCACTGTTCTGTCTTCCCCGTTGCTCCCCTGGAGAAGATATGGGCAAGGAGGCTGGGAGACACCGGTGAGGAGCCCAGGGAGCAAGTGGATGCTTCTTCCCGTATCTCGTGTTCTTCTGGAGTTCACAGTTCTCTTTTCCATTGTCATGATTAATTAATATTAATGGCAGTGCGGGCAGTGGCGAGACCAGAAGTGGGTCGCTGGCCGCAGACCCATTCCTTTGGCTGCACAGGCGTCTTCCGCCAAGTGCTGGATGCGTTCTGGTCACCGTCTGAAGGTCTCCAGTGCTTCCCTTCCCTGCTGCGAGTCTGGCGGAGGCCAGATTCGAGGTGTGCCTGCAGAAGCACCTGCTTTGAGGGGGGCCGCTTGGGGACAGAATTGTCCTTTGTGTGGATTTACCTGTTTGTCGGAGGAGGAAGAAGCAAAAGAGTGAAGGAGGGAAGGAACGAAGGAGAAAATGCAAGCCAGGCTGCACTGGGGACAGGTGGAAGCTGCATCGTCACAACCCCTCCCAGGGCATCCCCGGGCTCAGTGGGGTTTCAGAACTCCTGTGGGGCCCAGTGCCATCAGGTCAGCTTCATCCCTCTGGAGAGAGAAGCAGCATGGGCCCCGGAAACCACCTCCCATCAAGCTCAGGGCACAGAGCCCGCCCGAGCTCAGGGTGCAGCAGAGTGGCCCTGGTGGGTCATCCTGTTGGGGATCAGGGTAGGGGAAAGCAAGGGACCTCAAGAGACAGATAATCAGGCAGGGTCCTTGCTGTGTTTAAAGCAGCCAGCATGGCCCTTGACCTACGATTGTCCCAGGGGCTGCCTGCTATGAGGCGAGGGACATTCTCCGGTCTGGCAAGGCCCTCAGCAGGGACCCAGGGGGCAAGGGCAGCGCTGCAGTGCCCTTCAGGTGCCATAATAAAGAAGGCGGGGGAGGGTCCCAGGCAGCAATGGAGGGCCCATGCATGCCCGGCCCCTGCTGTGTGTGAGCTTCTCTGGCCTTCCCCTTGACCCTCAGGGACATTCCCCAAATCCCACCAGCAGAGAGAGGCTGGGAGTGTGGGTGGACAAGCCTGGAACAGATATGGGAAACTCATTAAAAACCCAGGAATTCTACACAGTGACCCTCAGCCTTTGCCTGTAGACTAAAGGGCCCATGGCTACCCACCTGGCTCAAAAGTGCAGCCAGCCCCTGTGAGCTGCTTCTTAGCTAGCCCTCCTACCCCCCATCCTCTGCCCCATCCCCAGAGCAAGCATGTCCGCTGACCCCCACCCCCAATTCCATTCTATACTCTCTCCCAAAGACTCCCCCTAGGCTGCTAGCTACCAAATCCATCAGTCTTAGCTTTGACCTACACATCCGTGCAGACAATGAGAGGTCCCCAGACACGGGGCCACAAGACATGGAGGACCTAACATATCGTTCCAGTATGCGCTCCCTGAGGAAAATTTCAGGAGCTATTAAAGGAAGGAAATGAGAGCTTTTGCTGTTAAAATATGAGCAATTGGGATTCAAAAAAGATGTCTTGGAGATAAAACATAATTTTGGAGAATAAAAGAAAAACAGTAGAGGCCATAGATGGTGGGATAGAGCTGAGCTCTGACGCAATGAATTGAGCCCAAAGCAGTTCAAGGAAGTGTGGCCACCCCCGAGCGAAAAGGCAAACAGGTGGGGACTACAGGGACTATTTATGAAGAAGGGGAATCAAGAGGTCCTTTTTGTTTTCATGTCACAGGTTCCAGGAAGGGAGAACGGAAATGGTGGCGGTGAAGCAATGATCAAAGAAACAAGATGTTTTCCTTGAGCTGAAGTCAAAAATGCTCCCCACCCAGCTGGCATGGCTCAGTGGTTGAGCGTCAACCCATGAACCAGGAGGTCACTGGTTCGATTCCCAGTCAGGACACATGCCCAGGTTGTGAGCTCGATCCCCATTGTGGGGTGTGCAGAAAGCAGGCAATCAATGACTCTCTCTCATCACTGATGTTTCTCTCTCTCTCTCCATCTCCCTGCCTCTCTGAAATAAATAAAAACATATTTTTAAAAAATGCTCCCCCAATGCTGGGTGGAATGATTTTAAAAGGCACTTAGGGATTCCAAGGATAAAGAGGAAAAAAATTTAAATGTGTGTCCCTCTTGGGGTGTCCCTAGAAGAAGACACAGAGTCAGCAGAACAGTGGGGCCACATTAAAACCTCGTCTTTCCTGTGGAACCGAGAGAGGAAAGCGTGGTGTACAGAAACGTGCCATTTCTCATGAAGACCTGACGCATGAAATACTCCAACCGATTGGAAAGGGGAATCAGGAGGAATTCAAGGAGAGGAAGGTGCCCTTCATAAGACAGAGACCAATGATACGAATAAAACTCAGAATTGAATCTGAACAGCTGTTGATAATGTGACTGAGAGACTTCATACAATTTTAAGAAAAGATTGCTTTTTAAAAAAATATTTTTAAAAAATACGTTTTATTGACTTTTAGAGAGAGAGGGATAGAAAGATAGAAACATCGATGAGAGAGGATCATTGATTGGCTGCCTCCTGCATAACCCCCACTGGGGATCATGCCTGCAACTCAGGCATGTGCCCTGACCGGGAGGTAATGGAACCTGTGATCCCTTGGTTCCTGGGTCAATGCTCAGCTGCTGAGCCACCCCTGCCGAGCTAAGAAAAGATTCTTGAAACAGGAGGCGTGAAGTCAAAACACAAGACCACAGATGCATGGAGAACCAAATTTCCAGGTTATTTCACCAAGTTCAGGCGGGAGGGGTGGGAGTGAGGGGAAAGGGTCAGCGTCAGCATGATGGAGTGGGGGGGTGGGGGTTGGGGAATTTGGAGAAGGAGGGGAGACAGCCCATCCCATCACAAGGACTGAATCCTGACCCCGGATTCACCTACTGTTCTGCCTCTTCATACGGCCTCAGCCTCCTCGTCTGTAAAATGGGAGATAAAGTGCATTTCGTTGGAGATTGTGAAATTAACACATAACATATGCCAATCACCTCACAGAGAGCTGGCATATTTTAAGTGCTTAATAGTTACTAGCTATTACTTTAATTAATTAATGATTATTATTATTGATGGTGATAGGAAACTATAGGCTCAACCATATTTAGTTTAGTGTGTGTGTGTGTGTGTGTGTGTGTGTGTGTGTGTGTGTTTTAATTTAAAAAGCCGAGGACTTCAGTTAGGCCATTATAGAAACTTACCGGAAACCCTTTCAATGTTCCATGCTGGGTTTGAAATATTGACCTTCCCTTCCTGGTGACAAACCCATGTCCCCTGGGGTCCTGTGGAGTGAGAGACTTCCCTGAGGACCTGGATGGGGGGAGGCGGGCGGGTGCCCTGTGCTGGGGCGAGCTGTGCAGGTGCAGCCTGGCTGACCACGGTTGGGTTGGGTTGGGTTTGGAGGTTGGAGTTTGCTTGCTTTTTCTGTTGGGTTTGGGCGTCTCCCCTTCAGGTGGGTGGGGGCCAAGTCCAGAGCCAACAAGAAAGAACCTGACAAGGAACGTCACGGGTGCCGGACTGTGTACACAGCGGATGGCAACGGTTAGTTTCCAACCGCAGGCGTGGGATGTGACTCAAAGCCAGCACCTCACGCAGTGGCCCCTCAGCCAGCCACGCACCCGCAAAGGGCCTTCCTCCCAGTGTGAGGAGAGCAAGTCCTGAGTGGCCCCTCCCACAGGCCCGGTACCAGCTGCTTTCCTCTGGGTGGTCCTCCCTTAGGGGTCCCTGGGGATAGCGGGGGTTTGGGTTGGAGGCAGGGCAGACCCAGCAATGTCAGGAGTGGACTTGGGGCTTTGTGGGGGGTTGGAGGATCTCTGGTAGAAATTTATCTTTTGGGGAAGTATGTTTAAAGCCTGACAGTTATAATGATAACTCTTATCAGGGTTACTATTTATCAGCTGCCATATGCCAGGCTCTTACACACTGTATCTCACTTAATCTTTGAGCACAGCGGGCAGTGGGCATGATCATCCCCGTTTACACGAGGGCACCAGACACCCAGCGAAGTTGAGGAGCTTGCCCACAGTAGGGGGAGGAGAGGCTGGACCCAGCGCTGGAGTAGCTGAGCCACCAAGTAACTTCAGGGTGATTTGGAGGGCAACGGATTTATTTAGGCTTTTCCTTGATCAATACCCTTAGATTTCTTTCTTTTATTTGGTTTTGAAAGAAAGTGCTCCAGTGGATCCATAGTCTGTAAGGGTTCAGAACAGCAATGCCGCGCCCCCGAGGAGTGGAAGCACCCTCGCCTTAGCGGCTGGAAGGCTGGCGCTGTCTGTGCAGGTGGCGACTGGTGGTGACCTTGCCTTTCGCGCTGCGTGGGAACGTGATGGCCGCAGTGCTTTTATTTTTCTAACTCTCTGTGATAACCTTGGGCTGGCCGCTTTGTACTGGAAGCTCAAGGCTAAATAAATAAGCTCATATCTTTGATTCCCTGTTGTCACCACGTTGGACATTGAACTTGATGGGGTCCCTTGATGGAAACCAAGTGTGAACCCTGGGGATGAGCCTTCACAACCCAGGAAGGACAACCAAGGGTATGAAAGAGTCTGTGGCTCTGAGCCCCAGGATGGAGTTGGTGAGTTCGCATGTCCATCTGACCTGCGTCCTCATCAGCATTTGCTCCAGGGCTGCCCATTCCCCTTCATTCCCTCCACCCCCACCCCATCCCGATTTCCCCGCCCCCTCTCCTGGATTTCCTCTGTCCTCTGGCATTCTGGTTCTCCCCTCCTCAACCTCTTAAGTTGGAGGTACCAGGTGCAGTCCTGGCCCCTCCTGTGCCCTGTGGGGCCTCACCCAGAACCGTGGCTTAGAATATTGTGTCAGTTTAGAGTTGCAGCTCAGCCCCTCCTCAACTCCCAGCCCTACCACTCTAGCCTCTGTCTCTTGGACAGTCCAGTGGGGTGTCTAATAGACATTCCAAGTTCAACAGGACCCACTGGAATTTCTGCTTCAGTAGCTGCTCCCCTCACCCTCTCCCTGCCAGTCTCCTCCACTCATCCTTCCACGAATTCAAGAGAACCTGGACTCTTATTGCCCTCACACCCCATATCCAACCATCAGGAATCAGACGGCTCTACCTTCCAATTTACCAGAAACTGACCACCCATTTCTTATTCCTCTGCCACCACCTGGTCCGACCTGCCATCTCCCACCTGCCCTGGCCTCCTAGCGGGTCTCCTCACTTCCTGCGAGCTTTGCTCAGAGACTACTCCTGTCTACTGGCAATCACACCAGCCCCCTTGCTCCCCACCCTTCCCAGGCGCTCCCTGACCCCCCCTCTACTATTTCATTTTCTAACCAAACTCCCTCCCTCCCTCCTTCCCTGCCTCCCTCTCTCCCTCTCTCCATCCTTTCCTCCTTTCTTCCCTTCTTTATTTCTCTTTCTTTCCCTCCACAGTGCTTATCACTTCATAACAAATCATATAAATGAATCAGACAAATGACTCACGCATTCTGGTCACTCTTCTGTCTCCCTGCACAGCTCCCTCCCACGGCCACACAACTCCAGGTGGGCAGCAGCTGTACCTGTTTTCTTTACTGACATCCCAGATGCCTCAATAGAGCTTCACGCTCTAGGTGCTCTGTGCATATTTGTGAAGGAAGGAGGAATCGCAGGGGCCCCAAGATTGCTCCCAGGGCCCCTTTTCTTCCCTAGAGCCCAGCATGTCCTATAGGCCGGGAAGCCCTTAAATGTTCTCTTGGCTGCTGTGGTTCCTGCCACTGCGCATGCTCTGAGGTCTACTCGGCCCTCCGGCCACTCTAGAGCCCAGCGACATTGCTCTGGGGAGGGGGAGGGTGCACTGCTTCCAAGTTGGGTTTGGGCCCCACAGGTGTGGACATGCCGGGCAGTGAGGAGAAGTCTGTGGAGGGAAGGCTGGAGGGACAAGCTGAGGACACGGAAATCTTGTTTGTTTCTGCAGAAGAAAACGCTAGTAAGTCAAACTTTCATGAGCAATAGTGGTATAGGGTTTTAAGCCATCCTCAGGTGAGTGGGCAGGAAGAATTGCAATTCTTGGCAAAGATCAATGATACGAGTTTTCATCATTTTGTCAGTAAGACGTAGGAGGTATGGAAGTCCCCCTTGACACGCTCCTATAAAGCCAGGACACAGCGCTGCTGGACACTTTTCTGAGGCAGGATTCTTCTAAGTCCATTTATTTCCCATAGTCTGTGCTGATTCCCTACTTAGGCACTTTTGTGCTAAAATGCCTTTGACAAAAGTCGTGTTCTTTGAGTTAATGTGAGCAGACCAGCTACTGCTGCTCCTTCCCTGGTCCTGCCCTGGCCTCACAGCCCGGGCCTCTACACACGTGGAAGGAGCTGGGGCCTTTCTGGCAGCAGCTCAGACAGGCTCTGTCCTGCCTGCTGTTCGAGAAGCACTACCCAGTCCCAGTGCCCAACCAGCCCAGTCCGCAGCCTCCCCTGCCTCCTCCATGTCACATGCACATGCACACAAACACCACAGACACACACCACACACACTACACACATGTGCATAACACACACCATACCACACATGCATAAATAACACACATATGCACACCACGGACACATGCCACAGACACACTCCACACACAGGTGTATAACACACACACCACACATACCGCAGCACACACACGACGTGCATAACACACAAACACTATGCCATACACACACCACAGACACCATATACACCACACACACGTGCATCACACACACGTGCATCACACACACACCACACACACATCCCACTATAGACACAAAACACACCCCACAGACACACACACACATATAACACACACACACACACACACACACACACACACACACACACACAGAGGAGCAGATGATCTGGGGATGATTATAAGTCATCAGCCACTTGGCATCTGCTCTCAGTGAGTTGGTGCAGGTCCCACCTGGCCGTGCCCAGTACTGGACCTGGGGCCTGTGTCTCTGGAGTGAATATAAAGCAATTCTCCCCAAAGCGTCAGCAGAAATGGGCTAGGACCCTCTCTGGGCACTTGGACTCATGGTTTGGAACATGGGATGGGGAGGGTTGCTATCCTCAGGGGGCGGGGATAGTAACCTACAAGTTGTGCCATTTACCCTGCAGAGGGGGTTCAGTCTCTACCCCCACTGATATGTCGCTCCCAAAAGCCCCTTTCTACAATAGCAGCCCTACCCTGAATGCGCATGAGATGCCTTGTGTGCAGAGAAAATGAATCGTGTTTGTTCACCCAAGGTGAATCTACTCATCAGAGGAGTTTATGAACTTTGGACCACACTTTACCTGCAAATATTCTCTCCTGTCCCTGTTGCTTAATTGATGCAGGTTCCGAAGAGCCACCAGTCTGGCTGTGGTCGCCCAGCAGCGGCACCTTCTCTGTAGCAGGTCAGATTGGTCTCCAGGGCTGAAGGAATCAGCAAGGCCTTTTGTTTTCTTTCAATTTTATTTTGGACTAGAGGCCCAGTGCACAAAATTCATGCACTGGGGGAAGGGTGTCCCTCAGCCCAGCCTGCACCCTCTCCAATCTGGGACCCCTTGGGGGATGTCTGACTGCTGGGATCAGGCCTAAACTGGCAGTCGGACATCCCTTTCACAATTCGTGACTGCTGGCTCCCAACAACTCGCCGGCCTGCCTGCCTGATTGCCCCTAACTGCTTCTGCCTGCCAGCCTGATCACCCCCTAACCACTCCCCTACCAGCCTGATCGACACCTAACTGCTACCCTGCCAGCCCGATTGCCCTCAACTGCCCTCCCATGCCAGCCTGGTCGCTCCTAACTGCCCTCCCCTGCAGGCCTGGTCACCCCCAACTGACCTCCCCTGCAGGCCTGGTCCCCCCTAACTGCCCTCCCCTGCTGATCTGATATTCCACAACTGCTGTCCCCTGCCGGCCATCTTGTGGCAGCCATCTTGTGACCACATGGGGGTGGCCATCTTGTGTGAGGGCATGATGGTCAATTTGCATATTACCTCTTTATTTTGTAGGATTGGTTTCAGGGGTACAGCTTGGTGGTTAGACAATCATATCCTTTATATAGTGCCCCCTGGGTATTCAGACCCTCTTGTCTGTAATCCACCTTCAGAGCTGTGGACAGGGCTAGCAATCACTCACATGACACTGGGCTGGTTTCTGAGCAGGTGCATCTTGGGAAATCTCATTTGTGGCAAATGCTCACCTGCCCCAGGGACCCTCCTTCCACGGGCAGAATCAGCATGCAGGGGGTCGATTGAAAACTATGCTATGGCTGCGGTATCAGATCCGTTTGAGAAAGTTCAGTTTCTGATGGATTCTTCCTCCCCTTGAAGCAACCTCTTTTCCTGGCTAGAATATTTGGGGAAGGAGGGGGGGCGTTAATGAAAGGATTTTCTTATGTTTCCAGTCTTTGTTTTCAAGGAACCGCAGAGAGCGGGTATTTCCAGGCAAATGGGTAAATTCCCAGAAGCAAGTGGCCCAGGCGTGTGAAACCCGGAGAAGAAAGTTGAGTTGAAACTGTATTCCACTTGTCTGACTAAGCTGCTTGTTTTCTTTCCTTCCCAAACAGTGACTCACCCAGTTCCTACCTGACAGGTGTGCACAGGGCCACCTGCGCCACGTGAGCCTGCAGGAGCCCGGCCGGCTTCCAGACCCTGCTGAGGGTGGAGCCCACTGGGGCCTGACAGCCTCTGGGCACCATTCCTAGCAGGTCCACGGGAATGAGGACCCTCAGCCTGTCTGTCCACATCCAGCTCCCGGAGGCCTCATAGGCTCCCAGCCATGGGGAAGTACCAGTTTCATCGTTCAAATTAGATTCATGATCCATTGGTCTTTTTCTGTGAGAAGCTTTAGCCTCCCTGCTCAGCATGACCACTGGTGAGAAGGAGGGAGCTTTCTGTAGAGAGCCCCCTGGGGAGCCCATGCTACCCTCATTCCCAGGAATAGGTCCAAAAGCCATCAGCTCCTGGGGTACGAGTCCACTGTCCCAGCAGCCCTCTCAGGTGTCACCTGCTTCACCATGCTCTCCTGGTGGGCGCTCTAGGATGTCAAGGTGACACTCCAGCCAGCCGAGTCGGATCATCCGTGTCAAAAACCACCGTGAGAAGGATGACGAGTTTGGGCAGCTGTGGTCTCAAAGATCAGGAAGGAAGGCGGGCAAGTCCCTGGTGTCAGGACGTTGACCTACCGCCTGGACAGTGCACCTGAGGCAGGGCAGGTGTCTCAGGACCAGTTCTGGTTCCCGACCTTCTCTGGACCCAGGGCTCCCGATGTTTCTGTCCTCTGCCCAAGGGAGGCCCCCTGCTCAGGTGTGACCAGAGTCTAGTCTTTTGAGAAAGGATAAGGGTATCCATTAGGGGCCGGGAGGGTCCCTCTCCCACCGAGGGAACCTCTGGGCACTCTGTCCCCCTTCTTTCTTTTCCACCTTCTCCCCCCTCATGCTTATCATCCAGCCCCCCATCCCACCCAC